ACTCTTGAGGAGCATCTCCTTCATGTAGGTGCTGGTATGTCCCTTCCTCAGCCCCCACATGGTGTACTGGGAATGTGGAATCTTGGTGAAGCGGATCAGGCATGTCCCCCAGTGCCAGAGCTGATGTGGCACGATCTACCACAGGGAAATAGTGCCCTAGTTTAGTGGAGCAGTTGTCTTCCTGAGGGCCCACTCTGCCGTTGTACCCCACCACACAAGGACGTGGAGCTTTGGGGTTGTGTCCCCCAGCACCTAAGCTTACGTGGCATTCCATCTCTCTCCCACCGGGACGTGGAGCTTTGGCTGAGCAGTGAGCAGTTACGATCCTCGGCACCCGAATGGACCGCCGATCCCTGATCCCCTCGGCCCCAAGCCACAGCTGTGCCTTGTCCTTCCTGAGTCCTTGCTTCTCAGCACACAGACTTACAGAGCCTGGGCAACTGCTGTGTCACCCTGAATTGTGCCTCACCTGGCATCTGAGATGCTGCTGTATATTTTTGGTCCCAGGACCTAAATTATAACTGAAACTTGCTCCCATAAACTCGAACCTTTGGAGCACCTCTCCTTCTTTGAGGCCATGCTAATGCTGTGCCTTAACCCTAGGGACAAAGTCACTGATGCATCCCTTCCTCTGGACCTGAGATGCTGGGCTGTGTCCCAGAGTCACAGACTTTGGCTCTGTGGGTGCTCTGTATCCACCTGTCCTTTCAGAGTAAGTGTGAGCTTCGAGTCCTAAGTCCCACAGTAATTTCATAAGATCTTGGTCCCAGGACCTTTATTCCAAGCTACTCCCAGCACCTGTGACCTTGATCTCAGTGCTTCTATGGCTGTTTGTGGACGATGTCATTTTTGACACCAAAGGAAACTTCTTCTTTTTTTTTTTTAATAGTTAAGAGACTTTATTCTAATAGCTATAATTACAGTGATTGCCTAAATGAAAACTGAAAACAAATATACAAAATGGTTGATTATTAATCATGTATTGTAAGAGGTTCCCCAACATGAAATAAACCAGTTCTGAAGTTTCCCCAAGATAAATTTAACAACTCCAATTTCTTCAGTGTTTATCAAAATACAAAAGAAAAAAAGTAGGGGTCGTCTTTTCTTTTCTTTCTTTCTTTTTTTCTTTTGGTTTTTTTTTTGAGACTGGGTCTCACTATGTAGTTGAGACTGACCTGGAACTCACTATGTAGCCCAGGCTGGTCTCGAGCTCACAGCGATCCTCCTGCCTCAGCCTCCTGAGTGCTGGGATTACAGTTGTGTGCCACCACACCTGGCAAGGTCATCTTTTCTGATGGCAAATCGGATCCTTCTAGGCTGAGGGAGGAAGCCGCTTCACACATGGAAGTGGGGGTGCTCTGGGATTGTGGTCTGGAGTGGACCGACCGACCCAGCTTGCACGCGCTCCTGCTGGTGAGACCCAGACTTTGGCCAGTGTATCTGAGTGGGCACTGAGAACAGGGGCTGCCCCCGAGCTGCGCTGGGCAGGGCCAAGGGTGAGGCTGGGCCCCATGCCCCATCACAGCCCTCCCAGCCCACCCCGAGGGGACCGTGTGAGCATGAGCACAAGCACAGCGCTGTGGAAAGCAGGTGCCCCAAAGATGGCTGGGTCTCTGCTTAGACCATGCAGCGGATGGCGTTTGTTCATTACAACTCTTGTGTTCCCAGTGGAACAGCCGATCTGATGATAGTGTTCAGGTCAAATTGTAAAACTTACACTAGGCAGCCAGGGATTTGGCTCAGTAAAATGCACTGAGTTTTGGGTTAAAAACCAGATGGATCCCGATGCCAATCTACAGCCCAGAAGCTCCTGGAGGCTAAGAGCCCATGTACCCAAATCCCTTCTCAGTACTTGAAAGCCTTGCACTTGGTGTGTAAGAAAAGGAGGGGTCTCAGGAAACTCTGAGATGTGGTTGTGTGGCATATGGAGCATTGAGCGATGATGGTTTTGAGAGGGCCTTCCAGGAGAGAAAGCAGATAAGAGGCTCAAGCAGTATATGGGTTTGTAGCCTGCATAAAAATTGTCATGAAAGGATGAAAGAATGGCGTGGGCCTATGAAGCAAGAAGGAGGAACTCTCCCTGACTTAGGAACCACTCATCTTTGGTGGTGAGATCCTGATATTTTTGGCATTCAGAAAGGGGATAGGCTGGGGTGAACCTGGAATGGGCAAAATATTAACTCTCAGGGGTGTGGAGGGAGGTGACTAAGAATGAGTGTGGGAAAAGATGCTGACCCAACTGACACGACCCTGGAGGGAGATTTAAGGGTCTGAGGACTTTGCTGTCAATGCCTACAGCAATAGTTGGGCCTGGAAAGATTTAGAAAGAAGGAAGGGTGGAATAAACGGCCCCCACATTAGTCAGGAAAGGGATGGACTTGCCCACTACTCTAAGAGTTACTTGAAGTACAGAGTCCAAGATGTTCTTTGGAGGCCTTGGGCAGCTTTAGTCTTTTGTGACCCAAACAAGAAGGTCTGAGAAGGAGCTGGTTGGAGGTCCCTAGGGTCATGACCTAGAGGCAGCAGGGGCTGTTGCCATTGTCGAGCAATCTGACTTCCAGTTGGTACCCCCACAGGAAGGACATGACTTGCGGGGAACCCTGGGCTTGGGCATCCCCTAGTCCAGTGACCATTCTGTAAGTGTTGTAGAAGGAACTGGCGAGTGACATGCACGTAGAAATGAGCTGAATGGAAGTAAAATAAAAAGTTTATTTTGTCAGAAAAGGGTCAGTCGTATTCATAAAGGCAGTACCAGTGATTGATCTCCTATTGGGTTGCAGTTTCCTCTTTTATAGGTTTTAAAGCTATGATCTCATTCAGGTGGTTACATTTCATTTCCTCAGTTCACATTACCCATGTACAAATTACAGTAACAACACAGTTAACTTTAACCCAGACCTAACAATTCCTTGTAGTTAGGGAGTTTACCTCAAGATTCGTCTGCTATCTATTCCAGTGCATGGGAAGTGGGTGTTCAAGGTTAGGGATGAGGCCAGATGTCCCACTTCATGGTCAGTTCCTCCAGTATCTGTTAATTTTGAACTAAACAGAGCAGAATGCTGTTAGAGACAGAAGTCATTTTATATTTTCCTAACATTTTGTAGGTTTTTAGATTATTTGCGAAAATTCTCTGTATCATAAGCATTTGAAACATGGCCCTGGTAGGGTGCCTTGAGTCAGGGGCATCCTTGATCCCTTGGATGTCAACTTGGTGGTTGACTTTGGGGATTTAGCATCTTTAGCTCAGAAATGCACTGCTTAGGGCTGGGGTCTTAGCTCAGTGGCACCACAAGGTCCTGAGTCTGATTCCCTGTATTGCAAAAAACAAAACAAAAAATCAAAACAGTGCTGCTTTTGAGCACTTTTGTCTGTTATTAATACCCTAAAAGGCCAAATTGATTAGCTCCTGCTGTGGGATTTGAAGACCTGTCTCTAGTTTCTGTAGATTCTTATGAATGTCTGGGGCCAACTGAGTGATGAAGTGTATCTTAAGAATAAGTTGCCCTTCTGGCTTTTCTGGGTCTAATGCTGTGAATTGCCTAAGGGCTGTGGCCAGGTGGGCCATAAACTAGGCCAGATTTTTATCTCAGGACTGGGTGGTCTCTTTAAGCTTATCAAAATTGACTGCCTTGTGAAGTCCTTCCACTAGGTAGGAAACGACATGATCCTGGCTGACTATGCCCTGGGATCCTGTCTGATAGCTCCAGTTTGAGTCCTCCTGGGGTATAGCTGCAAGATCCTCAGGAAAGTTGGGCAGAAGGCGTCTGCGTTTGTCTTCTAAGACTGCACCAGGGAGAATACTCATTCCTGTTTATCTGGGGAGAGAGTGGAGTTAAGGATAACATTTAAATCAGGCCAGGTGAGGCTATATTATTGGGTTAGGTATGTAGGCCTAGTCATTCCATCTTTATCTTGAAACTTGGCCTTCAATGAATATGCCTCCAGCCACAGTTGTAATGTGTTATCTTCTGCACTGTCTCCTTCAAAGACCTAGCTCTGTCTGACTGCATATAATATTTCTACTTAACTTAGCTGTCTGTAACCATGGGTGCACTGAGGATATCAAACAAACAGCAAATACTTAAAAAAAAAAAAAAAAAAAAAGAAAACCAAGCATTGGGCCGGGGATTTAGCTCAGTGGTTCTGCCGCCTGCCCTGCAAGTGCAAGGACCCAAGTTCAGTTGCCAGTACCAAACCAAACAAGGGGCCGGGGATCTGGTTCAGTGCTTCTGCTGCCTGCCTCCCAAGCACAAAGGCCCGAGTTCGGTCCCCAAAACAAAACAAAAAACCTAGCATTTATTAAGCACCCACTGGTATCAGATATGGATTGCTGCCAATCCTCACCATCATGTCAATGAAAAGACTAGAGATAGTCATGTATCCACAAGATGTCATAGGGTTCTCTACTACTTGTAGCATAGAATTGTGAATTTTTCTTGTTTTCTCAGGAAGGAGGTTGCTGTGGAAGGCACATGCTGACAGTCTCAGCACTTGGGCACTGAGGCGTGAAGATCCTGAGTTTGTGCCTGGCCTGGGAAAACTGGCAATGTAGTGAGAACATGTCTGAAAACGAAAAATAAAAATTGCTGGGTTTTAGCTCATTGCAAAAGCCATGGGCTCAATCTTCTGAAGGAAAAAAAAAAAAAAAGCCACACGATGTAATAACCACTCTTTGACAAGCTCAATGAGAATGATACAGGAGAAATACAATGCCCAATCTATTAGATATCAAATGTGCTGTTTTTTTTTTTTTATTTTTTGAGACAGGTCTCACTATGTAGTTGAGACTGAACTGGAACTCACTATAAATTGCTTCTCAAGTGTAGAACTCACTGTGTAGCCCAGGTTGGTCTCAAACTCACAGTGATCCTCCTGCCACAGCCTCCGGATGGCTGGGATTACAGGCATGCGCCACCACGCCCGGCCAAATGTGCTGAGTTTATGGTGCCACAACATCTAGGAATGAAGTCACAAACCAAAGGAAGAAGTTAGGAGAGTTTTATTGGAAATAGGAGAGAAGAATAATTCCTGGAGCTCCAGGAGGGCTCACAAATGGGGTGGCCACCAAGGCTCTTTTTCAGGGGTAATTTATACATCAGAGTCACAATGTGGGTACCACATAGGTCAAACTACAATCAACCTATAGGGTTACAAGTATAGCTGCCTCACTAATATAGATCCAAAAGAGAAATAAGTCATGTAGCAAGGGTATATGGAAAGAACAAAGGCATTTTTGGGAAGGGATGGGTCTGGATGCTCTGCTCACCCATCTGTGTGACCCATCTGTGTGTGTCTGGACTGATTGGACCAGGTAGTACTAATTACAATATAATCTCAAATTATTATCTATTCCTTAGGGAGACATGCAGATCTGGCCGTTACATCTTTATCTGGAGGCATGGCCTTCTTCAGATGCGCCTTCAGACACAATTCTTATGTCTTCATTCTTCACTGATTTTCTTGGGAGCCCAGTCTCCGTCTGACTGTACATTACTTTCTATCTGGGTTAGTTCCCTATAATAGTATTATTGCATAATTAAGGTCCAAGACCCTCCAAAGAAAATATGTGAGAAGAGGGAATTTATCTATGACTCTGGTGTTGACCATTAGGTTTTATTATGATCAGCAGCTGTGGGGTGTGGTAGGTTTTAATTTTGTCTTGAATATGACTTTCTAAAGATAACTTTAGCATCTTCAGACACGGTGTCAAGGAAATGTAGTTGCAAGCAGAAGCTTTTCTTAAAGTAAATTCCCGTAGCAAGGAGGCCTCCATTAATCAAACAGAATGTCTCCACATATCTCCAAAGTTTTTCCTCTATTGTTTCTTCATTATCAATTTCCAACAAATTTGGAGATTTGATGATTGCCTTGAGTTGTTCCACAGGCACTTGCAAATCCTTAGCCAAAGACTTCAGTGATAAATCATCCACTCCAAACAGGACTCGGAAGTAGTTTAAACTTGTCTTCAGCTTCTCCTTATCTTTGATGCTAATTATGCCCTGTAGAGGCAAGGTAGCCAATAGTCCAGCCTTGAAGGCTTTCAGCCAGATATGCTGCTTGAGAGATTTCCACTTTCTTTCAGTGACTGCCTCAGTAATATTAGGCAAGGAAAGCATAAAAATGTGGCGCTTTTGAACAGGGACATCATTTATTAAGGTGTCCATTAGGATTGGGAAATCAAATTTAGATGCATTGTTGTTAGAGATTAAGAATATTTGTGGTTCAATCATGTTGCTTTTCTTAAAGTTAGCCAGACAGTTGTTTTGGATTGTCTGCAAGACTGTTTCTTCATTAAATGTGGATGGTTTACATTTCTTTTCATTTCTTAAGTCAGAGTCCACCTTGGTTCTCACAAAGTAGAAATTTTTTTTCATAATTGTGATCACGTTGGCCAGGTCTATATCGTTTTGTTTGAAGCGTGTAGAAGAAACAATAATAAAAAAGTCATACTCAACAAACTGTACTTGCTTAAGATAATCCTTTGGCTGGAAATTGATGGTTCCAATGCCAGGTAGGTCCCAGACCCTCACATTGGGAAAGGCTGGGTGACAGTATAACTTCTTTTCCATGGTTGTTTCACACACCCCAATAGGAGCTGCCTCTTTGGATTCATGCCCAACCCCTCTCAGGGCGTTGATGAAACTGGACTTCCCTGTTCCCGATTCCCCTGTCACAGCAATGTTGAGTGGCGTATTATCAATTTCTTTTAACGCAGCGGTGATCACAGAATTTGCCCCTAGAATGTCTCCTTCTGTCAAGTGTAACTCGATTGCACTGATGGTTTCTTGAGAGATGACTTTGTTTTCCGTGCTTGAGTTCTTAAAATATTTAAAGCTGGAGAGCAAATGCAGGTGTTCTTCAACATTAGGAGTTTTGGAGTACAGCTGGCTCATGACTGTGAGTAAACAGAGGAACTAGAAAAGAGGGGAAGAACAGAATTGAAGGAGATCTTTGAGAAAAAAATTTAAACTTCCCTATTTCAAAATAAGAGGTCAGGGCCAGGGATTGAGCTCAGTGGTGCTATCACCTGCTTTGCAAGCAAGGTCCTGAGTTTGATCCCTGGTACAAAAAAAAAAAAAAAAAAAAAAAGGAATCAAAATAAGTCACATCTAAATGGCTCAAAAAGTTCTACAAATTATCAAATTTTAGGATATATATATATATATATTATGTACAGTTATATATTAAATATAATTATATAACACATTGTAAATTATTATAATATAGTACATATTACATTATATGATATGTAATATATATTAGTTATAGATTTAAAATGAAAGGAAAACATGAATTAATCATGCTTAATTCATTTCAGATGTGAAAAACCACTGATGGTAAATATGAATAATTAAACTAAGAGAAGAGAAAATGACAAATCAATCTTAATTATCATTGCAGCTGGAAAATCACTCAAATTAATAGCATTAGCTACCTGAAAGTGTAATACAAACATGAATTCCTCCCCATATGTACACACATGTGAAGTCAGGTGGTATTATATAGTCAGTCATGAGTGTGATATTCTAGAAGTTGGAGGAAACAAAATGGTTTTTGAAATGGATTTTCAACTAGCTCAGGTTTGGTATTCTTACCTTTTCTCCTCCCCAAAACCGTTTCTTCCAAGACATCTCATGTCAGTACACAGACCTCCATCATTAATTAAGCAAACACTGCAAAATTCTTGCATTCATCCTATCTAATCTTATATTAAATTTGTCAGTGAACCCTTTTGGCTCTGTTATGGTTTATATGGAGAATTTCCCCCAGAGTCTACTGAGTACATAGGTGGTGAAGAGGACTGGACCATAGGTGCTATAGCTGACTTGCCCTAAGGAGGAAAGGTCTAGTCAGAAGAGGTGGGTGCTTGGGCGTGACCTGCAATGGTCTATTCCCGCCCACCCCCGGCTCTTCCCTTCCCTTTCTGCCTCCTGGCTGCCGTGAAATGAACAGCTTTTCTCTACTGTGCCCCTCTGCCATGTTGTTACTACCCTGGAGCAGGCACGCCTTGGACTGTAACCATGAACCAAATTAAACCTGTCTGAGTATTAGGTGTCAGGTACTGTGTCTCGGTGATGCGGAGAGTGACTGAGACAGGCTGTATCTCCAAATTCACTCACCCTGAATCCCGTGCCACACCCTACCTTCTCCAAGGCATCATCATTTCCAGTTTGGATTATGTCAATACACACGGAACTATTTGCCCTTCTTCTTGCCAGCCATATGAATTACGGAGCATAGCCAGCCGCTCCTCTCCTTAAAGCCACCAAGGGATTCTTGTTTCACTTTGAGTGAAATTCCTTCACGTTCGCAGCACACCTACCACACAGAACACACCTTTAACTCATTTACTACTTCCGGGCCCCTTGGCTTCTGCATTCAAATCACCCCAGCATCTCTGAGCCACTCTCTTATTTCAGGAGTTTTGTACTTACTGCTTATGCATTCTTCATTGCTTTCTCCTTGATAGCCACAGGGTTCTTAATTTAATCACCTACCCTTAGGCTCTGTTTAAATTACGTTA